TTAAAAAAAATTCCAGATGAAAAAAAGTAAAATTAAAGAAATTATATTTTTCTATTATGATTTGTCGAGCCGTGTAATCTGGTAAAGGAAACCGACTGGTGTAGCGTTACACGCTTGACTGACTGCGAGCGAGATAACATGGGCGCAGCAATGACGCAGACCTAGACGTAGGACCATCTATACTGTCACTTGTAGAATCCAAACTTACTGACTCTTGTAGAGAACCGCTGTATAGACACCGGTGCTATTCAATCCTACGTTACTATGCTTTGATAGGTGTTGCGAGTGCTTTTCGACGCTGGTAGAAAATTGAACACTATGTGCGCGTTTCTTAATAAAATACTTTGAAAAATTATTCAGATTCTATGGTAGATATGAAAGTTCCATTTAACACCAAATTTTAACATCCATCTGTCAATAGCAAATTAGCAATCAATTGCCTACGAGACACAAAGAAGAATTTCTTCGCAAACGTCTGCAGATCCGATAATCGAACGAAAAATGTACCTGGGTCACATTTGACCCATCACGTGACTTCTTTCTCTGTATTGTATCAGAGAATCAATTTTTTTCGTCAGTATTTTTATCTAAACACGTTAACACGGTGACTGATGTTTTTCTCAGGGAGCCTGAAGAAAATTTTCATTATTCTAAGCATAGTATTTTATTATGCTTTATTATTTTTTTCTTTTCTTTTTTAATTCAAAATAGTCTAGTTAGCTATGACGTTCGAAATTTTTAGTCTACGAGATTCATTTTATTCTAACTATTCTAAACATTTGATGCCCTGCGGTCACTGATGACCACCGCCTGGCAAAGTATTAAACTACATTTCTCAGTAAAGAAAATAGAAATTATCTTGAAATCTCCTCTATGCCTCCAGCCACGTAAAAAATATTTACATCACATTATATCCCCCTCCATATCCTACAAATTTTGCATATAACATTTTTCCATATTATTATAAACAACCGAAATATTCCAAGTGGGCGACATTGTGAATAATTTTTAACTCACCCTGTATATCCCATGAACCTTCTACACGTGAGACTAACACCGGGTCACAGATGACCCAGCTTCGTTAACCAACAATTAAAACACCTAAAGACAATTGCACCGTCGATTAATTTCACCCCTTTTCATTAAATCAAAACGTCCATATTGAGATCTATCGTTAGGGAAGCGAGTTCACGTAGACGCTCCTTATGTTTCCTCGCGAGCAACACAGACTCACAGATGACCCGTATCAAACAAAATACAAGCCATACAAAATACAAATATTTATTTAAAAAAGAAAATCATAAGAAAACTGGTAAACGTGATCAACAAGAACTAACTACAAACAGAAACTTAACGAAGCAGACTCAATGGTACAGCATATATACAATGAAAATGTCTGAACGAGATTATCTTAATGATGCGGGCTGTAATCCGGCTGAGAGGGTTGGAAATGTCCACTGTCGCCAACTTGATCGTGTCCTTGTTCGTTCACAGTGTAACTGCTGTAGCTCTCTGATTCGTGTCCCACGTGATCGCCCGAATCATATCCACCGCCGATACCACCTCCAAGGCCGCCACCCTCGGAATGGCTGGCTGCCTGATACGGGATCGGGTGCGGTACCGGATAGAAGATCGGCTTGTTCACCGTTACCGGCTGAGGAACCGGAATTGGCTGTGGTACCGGGACCGCCTTTGGTACCACCAGCGGTACCTGCTGATGGATCGCGATCGGGACCGGCTTGGACACTTCGACCGGCACGTGTTCTTGGACTTTCACTAGCTTCGTGTATGGAATAGCTATAGGATGGTTCACAGGCACTGGAACGGGTATGTGATGAGGCACCTACATATAAAAGAGAAAGGAATTCAGAATCACTTGTAAGTAGATTGGTTGTCCGATTTCACGGTCTGGAGAGAGGAAGCGGGATCGCCTCCTGGATCGTGGAACGGAGAAAAGGGTTGGAGAAATGGGTTCAGTTTATGGTTAGGTATTCAGCCGTAAAGACACGGCTGGAAGTTCTCCTTTCGTTTAATCGCCGAGAGGAATGTTAATTCTTCGAATACTGGAGCAATTAACGATTAACCGTGATTCTTTTGCTGTATCGAAGCTGTAAATGGTAGAGGCATGTGTGTACCTTAACTGGATACGGCACTGGGACCTTGACGACAGCAGTTTTGGTAACCTTGATGATCTTTGTCGGTATCTCCTTCAGGTGGACCGATTGCGAGATGAGTTTCGGCTCGCTGATGAGACCATGGCCTTCCAGGGAACCAAAATGAGAGGCCCTCACTGTGGCCACTGCCAGGCCGAATAAAAACTGCAAACGTACAATCACGATTCAAGATCGGCGCAACACCTTTCGAAAGAGAACTACCTCCGAACATTTTTATACTTCTTTGTTCTTTCTTTGTTTCATTTTTTTTTTTTGTAACATAATGGATTGAGCGATTATGTATCAGCGTAAGTGAACAGTGCAGTAAAGTGAACTTTCACTCCAAAGTTTTTACGCCACACTGTAGAATCTTGAATATCGATAATCTATATCTACTTAGCAATACTTTCTCCACTCTCTCTCTCTCTCTCTCCCTTGATAATCACTTTCAGAACTCGCGGTCATTTTGGTAACAGCGAAACAGAAAAATGATCCCAAAAAACGAATACACATTACAACCCTGATATATTTCTTTTTAATTCACTACACCTTCGCGAAATTGAAACCGAGATTAAAGGGAGAAAATCGTCACGTTTTTAGAGGTCTACCAGAGTAAGAAACTTCGGCTGTCGACGATGAACTTACTACTTTCAACATCGTCATCCGGTTTTCGTAGGTGTGCGTCGATATAGATGCTTCGGATGGGACGGATCACACTGACAATTGCAGTACCGGCAGTTGCTTATATACGAAGACCTTCACCGTCACCAATTCACGAAGAAAGCACTCTCTTTCCGACTGGCTTGCGTTCTCCAATCTTGTCTCCGCTTCTCCCCTTTTTTCCTCGCTCTTCTCGCGGCGTTACGCGAGTTCGATGACCGCCGCCCGTATCCGGTGCACGCCGATGCCGGTGTACCACGTTTAAACTTCTATGGAAAACGACGAGCACGTCTTCCTCAGCCTCGTCCTTCCTCTGTGTTTACTCTTTCGTAACTTACCTCGTCACGCAGCTTCCCTCCGTTAATCATTCCACGCTCTTTTCTCATTGATAAACGATCGTGTAATATGCGAGCGGTTTAACGTGCGTTAAACTTGATACATCTTTGAAATTTCCATTCAGGTCCATCGCTGTATCGCGTGCGTACCAGTCGTAATCTTTAAATAATTACCCGTCGGAAAGTGTGTTCATACTACGTCGTTTAAAGTGGTTGTAAATGTCACGTACACAGAGTGCTCGATGTTACACAACGAGAATCTTACGCGGTTCTTCTTCGAGATAACTCTCGTTAGGTCAATTTCACGGTTCAAGTGTACACAACCTGGGATTATTCATCTTTCACCTCGGAAATTATGTACGGTCGGTTCGACTTTCACCCGAAACTTCGTCGACTAAGTCCCAATCTCTCTGAGATAACTTAACATTCTGCATATGTAGATTAGAAAGTGAAAAATGTCACCGAAACGTTGTTACAGACGAATAAATTTGTCTATCCTCGTTGCGATATCCTCGCGTGTCGGATGATAATATGCGAAAAATAATTTTACCCGCGGAACAGTCGCTTCCGCTTCGAATTTTCAATCGGTCGACGAGAAATAGTACTGTAGGAAGTAGTACTTCCTACGCGGTTCTCGCGGTGCAATTTCCTGTTATAAAAATGGAGAGAGCAATCGGAATTCTGAAACGCGAGCCGCGCGGGACGATCCACGCGGGCTGAGGGAGAGAACGGTGAAAGGATTATCGCTCTCGGAGACTGAAAGAACCGTCGGAGGTAAAAGGACTAATCTGGATCATCTGGTTCTTTTCCACGCGAGCTACGTGTCCGCTCGTATGCACTCGTGCGAAGAAAAGTCGCTGCACGTAAGTCAGCCACTTCGAACGAGATACTACTATGTACAATGTATCAGATCGTTAACTATGTTTCGCGGTTCGCTCGTAGAATGGTGGCCGAAGTATAATGAGTTTGTATTTCACGCCGATCTTTTTTTTCGTTCCTCAGAAGTTAGCAATTCTGCTGTAAGAAAATACGTCGACAAGTTCAATGCTACGGTCAGAGACATTTGTTTATTATGATTTAAAGGGACAGCGGAGAAGGAGAATGTACGTCGTTGTACTTTGCTGTTGTTCAATTCGAAGGAAACGGCGGCAAAAACGAAACGATCGATTGGAGAAGCCTGTGGTAGTGATGTTGAGTGTGCAGACACGCGTGAAAAATGGTTCGAACGGTTCGAAAATACTGATTTAGGCTTGAGAGACGAAGAACGCGTTAAAAACCACCTTCAAAATTATATCGAAGTTAAGATAGGAAGTTCGCTATCTATTCTCCAGACGCCGCACCTTCGAATTATCACCTGTTTCGTTCGATGCGACACAGTCTGAAGGGGCAGCGCTTGAAAAATCTCGATGAGGTGAGAAATTGGGTCGGTAACTACTTCGCCTCCGAGGAAACAGCATTTTTCCACCGCGGAATGCAACTCTTGCCACGGAAGTAGGAAAAGATCGTTCAAACAGGCGGTCGTTAATTGAGATACGAAAATTGTAACGGTATTATTTTAATAAATATGTAGCACCTCTTGATAAAGAGAACAGGAGAGAAAAAATGGAATTTTTTCCAAGTTTGAACGATTTAGGAAGAAAGCAGCCTAGCCCTGAAAATTTCTATAAAATTAACCCCTTAACGTATGGCAACTGGTCACACTCGTGGCAGAGATTCTGGCGAAGATGTGAGAAAAATAGTTATATTAGTAAGAAAAATTCATTGTAATCCTAATTTTCGTTTGAATTTTGAAGACTGAGGATTGCTAAATGTAATTAATCTGTGACAGGTTAGTTTTTGTTACCTGATACAGTACTAAAACAGAAAATGGCTGACGCTTAGATGCATAGTCAGAAAAGAAATCATAGGTTAAGGGGTTAAAAATTTCTCACTGAATGCAATAAGAAGAAATTAAGCATTCTAATTCTTCATCCTCGGAGTATTTTTCGCAAAATTATCTGAAACTTTCGGAAAGACACTTTGGATAATCTATTTCAATAAATATCTAGCGCCCCTTAATAGAGAGAACAGGAGAGGAAGAATGGAACTTTTTTCAAGTTTGAAAAATTAAGGAAGAAAGCAGCCTAGCTCTGAAAATTTCTAGCAAATTAAAAATTTCTCACTGAATGCGACAAGAAGAAATTAAGCATTCTATTTCTTCATCCTCGGAGTATTTTTCGCAAAATTATCTGAAATTTTCGGAAAGATACTTTGGATAATCGAGCGCAGGTGCACGCAATAGAACGCGTATCCTTCCGATCAGAAAGGAAAAGTATCACGTTCAATCTTGAGGTGGTCCTCTCACAAGGGCAGCAAAAAACCGGTTTAGTACAAAAGCAAGAGTAAAATGATTATTTGCCCAACCCTCTTTCTCCTCTCACTTTCGATGAAAGCTGGTGCTGCTGTTGTGCCGAAAACGTGTTAACCTTTCTCATTTCGAATCGATCTGCCGTACGTACCACTGTTAAAGCACATTAATAAATGCTCGAACGATTTTGCACGTGCAACAAAGGATTAATAAACAGCACATGGGTAAAAGTAGATTCGTGTTATTCCTATTTCGTACGTCTTCGAGGAGAAAGGCAGAAGGCTGGAAAAAGTGCACAACGAGAATAGCCTCTCGAGAAAGAGCGTCTCGTGATAGGAGGAGCACTCAAGTCTGGCTAATTTGGAGGCGAAAATCTTGTCTGAATTTAATCAATTCGCTGTTTCTCTGATTGCTTCCTCGAGTATATACAGTCGAGGACAGAAGTATGTGGACACCCTTCAAAACAGAAAAACATTTTCTCGAAAATTAGATCGAACGACTTGAGCTTTTCAAATACGTTAGGGGGATCAATTTACCATATGACGTGTAAAAGAAAATTTTGAAAAAATTGCAAATTTGCTGAATCGCGAAGAAGCTAGCGAAGGTCGCTTTTTGCAACTTTTTTGTCTGAGTTCGCAATGAAAATTTGAAAAATACGTTTTGTAGATTTATATCAACTATGTACATGCTGAAAATTTCATCGAAATAGGTTAACGTCGCTGCGAGCTATAAACGGTTAGAAATTGTGAAAGTGGTAGGTTTTCACGATTTTCGGCCTATAACTGTAATAAATCTAAAGATTCTTACAGCTTTCGATGCCTGTCGCTTGTTTCTGCATCGATCGATTTCGATGAAATTTTCAGCATGCGCCTATAGAACTGGCGTAAATCTATAAAACGAACTCTTTTTAATTTTCATTACGGGCTGAAATGAAAAAGTTGTAAAAAGTGACCTTTACAATTTCCTTCGCGACTTCCACAAATTGCAATTTTTTCAAAACTTTTTCGACACGTCGTCTAGTATACCAATCCTTCTAACTTCTGTAAAAAACTCAAGTCGTTTGGTTCAATTTTAAAAAAGTTACACTGTTCTAAAGAATGTGCGAATATTAGTGAGAGTAACTGTACAGGGTGTCTCACTTGTAAGGAACATGCTCTGTTATTGAAAATAAGAAAAAGTGACAAAGAGGAGTTTATATGGTCTAAGGATGTGCATCTGACGGTAAAAAAGCCGCCTGGAGGTCATCTTGAAGATCATTACTAGATCGTCGATCGTTTTTGTAAAAACAAAGACAATGATTCTTCAGTCTTTGACAAGGAATCAAGGAGTTCAGAAGTAATTATATCGTCGTAGTTGTGTATTTCTGAAGAAATGGATTAAGCGACCTTCGCTAGTCTCTTCGCAATTTTTTCAAAATTTTCTTTACACGTCATACAGTAAATTAATCCCTCTAACGTATTTAAAAAGCTCAAGTCGTTTGATCTAATTTTTAAGAAAAAGTTAGTCTGTTTTGAAGGGTGTACACATGTTTCTGTCCTTGATTGTAGTTTCCATAAAAATACTGCCCCCGTATAACACGAGAAAAAGAAGAGCGTACAAAATTCTAAAGCTGAAGAAAATTCAACCGACGAAGGAGTGGTCGAATTCTAGTTTCACCTGCCTTTACCTTCACTTCAACTTATTCTGATACATATACCGAAGAAACTTTTATATTTTTATTATTTAAAAATAAAATAAAATGTTTATTATTTTCTATTATATAAGAGAAACATTTTTTTATTTAATTCTAACTTTTCACGCGGTCCCCCGCATAACACGAAATTCGTACAACGCGGAAGACATCTCCCTGCTGTGCTTCGTTTCGCTGATAATAACGATCACGGTTCAAATATAGAAGAGATAAGTAGAAATATGAAGGTAACTGTTGGAAATAAAAAAAGATGAAGAAACGATGTTGATTAGATCGTGAACCTAATATCAGTATCGAATCGCATGTAGTCAAACGAGGTCATCTTGAAACCTTATCCACCGCAGGAATCTAGTTTCGAGATCCTCCTGTTCCAGTTTGACGCTCAAACTTCCAGATAAATTAAAAAAAAAGGCGTAGAGGTAACATGTGAAACGACACCGGAGAAGACAGCGAAGAAACTCTGCAAAGTGTTCTGAGGTACTTAGGTGAAACGCGAGTCGATTCGCGTGGAAGATAATCGGGATAATTAGAGCAGCAGTCTAGAGCCCTTTCCTTCCGCAACTCGCCGTTCAAATAGGCTTCTTATGGCCATAAACGAGCATAATATAATGTGCTCTCGTTTAATGGCTTC